TACACACACACACGCATATATATATATATACATACATATGTTTGTGTTTGTGTTGTGTTTGTGTTTGTGTTTGTGTTTGTGTTTTGTGTTTGTGTTTGTGTTTTTTATATCTATGATGTACAAGGCTATATTATCATATTTGTGGCGATTTATACCAATATTGGATCGACGTGGACTATACTCATATTCTGCAGCGCATCCAATCTCTTCTACATGACTATTGATATACGTTGCTCATCTTTTTTATTTATCTTTCACTATTTAATATATTGGTGTGAGCGCGAGTGTGCGTATTTACACATCTGCGACATAAGCTCTCATATAAATTACCTCACCTTTGCTTTTCTAGACATAGACTTAATGCTCACGTGTATATACCTATATAGATTGCATCGACTCGTACTAGTTCATGCGCATTCTAGAATAGACTGTTTTAGGTATATAAATATATATAATATATACATATATATATATATATATACATATCCTCGTGCAAGTCTCAACCAATTCAAGCACGGTCTCAAACAGGCGAGAGCGAAGCCAATCCACAGCTGGTGGTGCAGTTGGCGCAGGAGGTGTATAATACGGATCTGCTGCTGCTGCTGGTCAACAATTTGGCTTCATTTGAGTTCGAGGTATGTAGATACATACTTATCACACACACGTGGGCAAGTGTGTGAAGTGTGCGTAAGCATGTCAACGTGTGCTTTCATTTGAGTTTGAGGTATGTAGGTACATACTTATCACACACATGTGGGCAAGTGTGTGAAGTGTGCGTAAGCATGTCAACGTGTGCATAGAGTACCACCTACGTATGTGCGAAGGCAGAGTATCATGGGTGTAGGTATTCTGTACTGGCGTGCGTACATCAGAATCTGTTCTTCACTAAGCTTGGACTTACTGTCTATGTGTGCTGCGAGTGTACTGCATCTGTTGTGTCAAGCGTAGTGGGCCAATGGTGTGCGCATTTGTGCCATTGCCCGTAAAGGAAGTGATGCACACGCTCTTTGGTGCGTACGCATGTATATATATATACATATATATAAATATATATAGGTGTCGCCAACACTTTCTGTACTGTCACGAACCCTTCCGCAGTATTATCACACTCACTACCACTCTACTTTATTCTGTGAATAAGGCAGTACACCTCTCTATTCGCACATCAATGGCAGTAAAGGATGCTGTGCTCACACTGCCTAAACTTGGTTTCAACTCAACTGTCTAAACTTAGTTTATACCCCACCCATGTCATAGGCGAAGAAGGATGCGGCGCAGATCTTCAACAATCTCTTGCGCAGACAAGTGGGCACGCGCTTCCCCACAGTCGAATACATCTGCCAACGCGAGGCCATTCTCTTTGTGCTGGTGCAGGGGTACATTACACTAACTCTGTCTATGTATAAGTATATATATACATACATGTGTGTGTGAGTTTGATGTAGGGGTACGTTACACCATCTCTGTCTATGGATAAGTATAATATACATGCATGTGTGTGAGAGTGTGGTGCAGGGGTACGTTACACCAACTCTGTCTATAGATATGTATGTATATACATACATGTGTGTGAGAGTGTGGTGTAGGGGTACGTTACACCATCTCTGTCTATGTATAAGTATGTATATACATGCATGTGTGTGAGAGTGTGGTGCAGGGGTACGTTACACCAACTCTGTCTATGGATATGTATGTATATACATACATGTGTGTGTGAGTATGGTGTAGGGGTACGTTACACCATCTCTGTCTATGGATAAGTATGTATATACATACATGTGTGTGAGAGTGTGATGTAGGGGTACGTTACACCAACTCTGTCTATGTAAAAGTATATATATATATACATGTGTGTCAGAGTGTGGTGCACGAGTACGTTGTACTATCTCTGCCTATGTATAAGTGTATATCCATATATGTGAGTGAGTGAGAATGGGAGTGTGGGGCAGGGGGTACGTTACACCAACTTTGTCTATGGATATGTATGTATATACATACATGTGTGTGAGAGTGTGTGGCAGGGGGTACGTTGCACCATCTCTGTCAATGTATAAGTATATATACATACATGTGTGTGAGTCAGTAAGTGAGTGTGTGCGGTTGTTTGTATGCCCTTTTAATGTGTGTATTGCCTGCAGTCGAATACATGTACGAGTGGGTAGGCCTATATGAGGTGAATGGGTAGGACTATGTGGGGTGAGTGCGTGAGGCTGAACTGTCCTGTGTGCCAATCTATAAATAGAAATGAAGTCCCAATGATCTATCATATCAATGAGCTGCGCTTGTAAACCCTTAAGATTTTGCTCGTTCGCGGCCAATGTTGACACAGAGGAGTACCGCACTTCTTGTAGATTAAAAGACTTTCCTATAGAATATCAGACTAAATATTTATTGTGGATTATCGTTTGTGCTGCTTTTCTCTTTATTTTATTTATTATTGCAAACCTGGATCCCATGTTCTCTGTACTTTACTCAGGCCGATACCTTTGCCGCTTCACGGGCACTAGAGCGAACCGACGGACATCACAGATACAAAAGATCAGAAATTTATAACAGTCGTGTGTATGTTGTTCTCATGCCATTGTTTGATGTTGGGCTCATGCCGTTGCTTGGTGTGCTGTGCTTCTGCAACTCACTCAACAGATACGAAAGTGACCAGAACGACATTGCGCTCAACTGTGGGTTGATGCTGCGCGAATGCATTAAACACGAGGCACTCACCAAGATCGTCCTCAACTCATCCCTGCTATTCCAAGTATGTGTGTACATGTTGATAGGTATGTTTTTAC